ATATATATATATATATCACGACAATAATGTGTCCTTGTCAGTATGTGTTTTTAAATTGTGCAGAAACGCATAATGAAGGAAAGCACTTATTAACACACCGCTAATTTGCTTTGTTTTATTCCTTCACGCATTTTGCAATGATTTCTTTCGTTTAGATTATTACGAAGAAGTAATGGTATTAACAAATTCGTTAATCTCTTCTTCAATAAGTGAACCAATGTGGGAAATACTTTTCGATATTCATAAACTGGCCGTTTCGCAAGGAGGATTAGTTTTTGTTGGTAAGCGTTTTAAAAATATTTGTAGCAACTCGGTAACCAAGCAAGCTTCGGTGCTGAAATTTTGCCAGTGTGTTTTCTGGCTAAGTCCACCCCAGGACCACAGTACTAATCTTTTTATGCCCAGAGCCCCGCTTATAAGCACATGGAAGTTTTGGCGGGGAAATTGCTAGCTCGAGAAACGAAAGAGCTATTCCCCGTCCACTTACAACTTAAAGATTTCAAATTCATCCCCCAGGAATGCGTGGTTCTCACAAGCAGGCACTTAAAACTTTTCGATAAAATTGTTCACTGGGCAGCTAGGTCATTACCAAAGACCGTTAAACTGGAATTGTTCATTTTCCTCTGTACAAAGTTTACGAGTATTTATGCTAGTGAGTGCACAAGATAGCTGTAAAGCGGCACCACTCATAAAGTTAACGACTTGGTTGCTTCTAGTTTAATGCAAAAACTGTCCAGAATTTCTGTGAATCTTTTGCTTTGCGAAGTTTGCAAAATTTATTCCGATAGTAGCGGCGCCTAGCAAAATGAGATTCATCGCGAAACGGGAACTTTGCATGCAAAACTTTTTAAGATTAACTGATAGAAAAGCTAATGAAGTTAGTTTCCTTGTCAAGGCGTGGTTAGCAAACGCGATTAGTGTAAGCTTAGGCAAATGTGTGTAAGTGGAGAAACAAATAATTGAAAGGCAGATACATGAAAACACAATATACTTAAAATGGGTAGTTGTGATGGATAACAGAGGCGCTCAGTGCATATATATGGCCATTTATTGGACGGCACTGAGCTTCTAGTTCATTGAGTATGTAATCAATAAAGATTGCAGAAATATTTGGACTTTGTTAGTTGTTAATGGTTTTCTGAAATCCTGATATACTATGTCTTTTTGCTTTTCCGGTACAGATGTTATGCCCGTGATGTACTCATATTTGTCTGTGGATACGGATGGTTTTTTGGCCCGTCCGGAGCGCCTGAATGCTTTCGTCGAGATCAGTGTGAGTATGTTCAAAGAGGATGTGGAGGAGGACGACCAGATGCATGCTGCTAAGTTGCTGGAATGCCTCATTCTAGAATGTCAGGTGTAGTGAGCTCATTTTCCACAGTTCTCACATTATTAATTCCCTTATGATACCGCGATGCGATGCTTTTTTATCATTTTTTGTTTTGTTTTGTGCGGTGTAACAGCTGCACAAGACTCAAACTGTCATCTCCTGGTTTTTTTTTT